TGTCAGCATATAGATTAATAATGAATTGTTACTTAGTACACTAAAATCCAGGAAAATTTTATCTTGGGTTGTTAGAAGTGGTCTGTTGGCTGCCTTGTACAAATCATCAACTGCCATGTAAAGTGTAAGTACTGTATGAGTGAAACAGATTTACCATTAAAACCACATTGAGCCTTTTAAAACGTGATATACATTCTAGAATCTTGCATCAGCACGTGCATTTATGAAAATACACACGGTTCAACTCCATAAAAATTCCTGTTTGGCATGTCCAGTTGTTTAAATTCTAGATAAACGAGAATTTGTGTAAAAGAAGTATAAAAAACTGATGGAAGTTCTTATCAAAAGATTGTTTTCTCTTTTAAGGAGATGGGTCCTGATGAATATGAAGAGATGGAAGAGGAAGAGGAGGAGGAGGAGGAAGACGACGACGACGACGACTCGGCGGGTATGGACGAGTCTGATGAAGACGATGAGGAAGAGAGACGGAGGAGAGTCTTTGATGTTCCCATTCGAAGACGCCGCTGCTCTCGCCTTTTTTAGGGAGGCGGTGCTGATGGAAGCACTGGCATGAATCCACTTGTTAAATAGATTTCCCAATAATGTAAATAACTAAATTGCTGTCTGCATATAGCAGGAAAAGTAGCATGAAATATTGTTCCAGGCCCTGGGTTCTATGCGATGCCAAGTTAGGAACTGGATTGTTTTGGTTTGCTTTGTGTTTTTGAGGAAGAGGAGGAAATGGGAATCTTTTCTTTCTCCCTCTTCTAGAAGTCAGTGGGAGAATAGTTCTCTAGCTAAAGAACAGACATTTCTTTGTTTCAAAATATTTTATACTTGTACGAATATGGAAATGGGAGGGAATTGTTTTGAATAAGGATTGAAAAATGTAGCAGAAATACCTACACAAGGATAGAGAGGAACTATGTGAATAATTCTGTGAAAAGACTTCTTGCAGTTTGAATTATTTAGAAATGAACAGAATTTGTAATTAGGCTAATACATTTAGCGATTCCTATATATTTTGTACTTACAGGGAACTAATGGACTAAATAGCTTGAATGCTAGTTGTTTGTCCTTTCTCAGACAATCTATCCTTGGATTTAAAGGTTTCATCACTACCACCTTGAACTTAAAGTCTTCATCATTATGACCTTGCATTTAGTTTTCAACTCTACCAACCTTGAATTTAATTTAAAATCTTCAACATGACAACCTTGAATTTAAAGTCTTTAATGCTATGACCTTTATCATATTGTTCACAGATGCATCATTTTTGAAATGTAGTGTGTGAAAGTATGTATTGTGTTGTTTATTAACAAGAGTCTTCACAATGTCTCATGTAGTCTAAATTTGTAAATACTGCTTCTGTTTTGTTTCTCCTTTATACACTTGACCGTCTATGTGATAAGTGACCTGAATTTTATGTTAAGATTAAGTATGTTTTCCTGAAACATGGATTTTTTTGTAATTATATAACAGAGTTTGGAATGAAATCCTCCAAGTGGCAAAAACTCACATTTTAAAAACGAATTTTGGTTCTGACCCTGTATTTTGTGTAATTGCCTATTTTCCATAAACTAATATTAATCAGCCTTTGCTGTCAGGGTGGAAGATGAAATCGCTATTCATTGTCCTATTGCCAGAGGCCCATTCAAAGTTATTTCCTGGCTTTGACTATATCCTGTCATATGCCCTACCTTCCATTTTCCCCAAGAATACTTATTTTTTTAAGGTTTTATTTATTTATTCAGGCTCCCCGCTGAGCAGGGAGCCCAACATGGTGCTGGATCCCAGGACCCTGGGATCATGACCTAAGCCGAAGGCGTACACCCAACCGACCGAGCCACCCAGGTGCCCCAAGAATACTACTTTTGTAGGGAAAACTATAGGAAGAGGGAAGTGTATATGGGGTTAAGCAGCTGTCTGCAGGGACCATGAAGACACTTTCCTATTGCTACATGTCAAAATGTTCTGAAATGGAGTAAGTAGTGTTTCCTGCTTTTTTTTTTTTAATCATTAGGGTACCAAATCCTATGATGCTTATCTCTCCCTTCTTAAAAAAAAAATCAGCCTACTGATTTTTAAAAAAATAAACTTTCCCAATAAAATGATAATTTAAAGCTAGTTGATGTTGAAAGTTAAAGCTAGTCCCAGGATCCCTTGCCATTTTTGCTTGTCTTTCCTGGTTGACCTCTCCTCTCAGTTCCCACAGTACTCACGAAGCCCCAGATCTCCCCTACAACCCCATCCAATTCTTGCTCCTTAGAATATGTCAGGCTTATTTATCCTCTCATATAAATTCACATCCTCTTTTTTTTTCAAGATTATTTATTTATTTATTTGAGAGAGAGAGCACGAGAGGGAAGAGGGTCAGAGGGAGAAGCAGATTCCCTGCTGAGCAGGGACCCCGATGCGGGACTCGATCCCGGGACTCTGGGATCATGACCTGAGCCGAAGGCAGTCGCTTAACCAACTGAGCCACCCAGGTGCCCCCTCACATCCTCTTAATATGTTGAATGACCTGTTGTTCATACCAAGGTGTGATTGATTAGTTGATAACACGCTTAAGTGTTATTTCATTAGCAAGAATGTGTATTTACACATAGAAGGGATTTAACAATTGGCCAACCTATGCTTTTGTGGAGTGAAGGCCATTTCTGGTTCTGAGGTCCCTTGAGACCACTGCCCGTCTTTGACTCATTTATCTAAAGCTTGACGTATTAGGATGAGACCCAATAGCAGCAAATAGCTAAGGGTTATTTTTCTCTTATGAAAAGCCAAAGGTTAGTTGAGGACTGATAGAGTGGCCCAGTGGTGTCTTCATTCCAGATTTGTTCCAACTTTCTCTTCTGCCATCCTTAGCACAAGGCTTTAATCATAAAGGTTACCTCGTGGTTGCAAGATGGCAGCTGCAGTCATATTCTATTCCAAGAATAGTTGGATAGGGAAGGATAAGGAGAAAAGGGACAAATTAAATGGAAAGTAAAGTCAAACATACGGCTGAAGGGGTAAACCAACCAGGTCTCCAGCAATCATGTGGAGGACAGATGTGGGGGGTGATGGAGGAATTAACATGGGCAGCATGGAGACCTGGTGTGAAGAACTTGTAATTCCACAAGTAAGACATGCTTACAGGCCTGAGTTAGGGCAGTAGCAGTGGAAGTGGAGTGAAAAGAGGATGAAATGGTTATCTACAAGAGAAAGTACGTAAGAGCTGGTGATCAGATGTGAGAGAGTAGAAGAAATCAAAGGTGATTGCCAGGTTTCTGGATTCACTTTAAAAAAAAAATGGAGGAAATACGGTTGGACATTGGACATGAGATTTGGATACATTTTGAATTCAAGATACCTGTAGGACATACAGGTTCCAGCAATCAGTTGGCTATGAATATGAAGACTGAGAGAATGGTCAGGGATGGAGAATAAAGATTTGCAAATTATCTGCAAATTATACATGTCCCCAAGGCAAAACTAAGCGGAGTAAAAGGGAGCACACAGTAACGGTCTCAGTCCAACCCTGGCAACATTCAAGACTGAAAGATCAAGAAGCTGGAAGCAAAACTAGGAGAGGGTGGCATCTCAGAATCCAAGAGTTCCAAGGAGGGAACGGCTAATAAGATGTGTATGAGATAATGCATGTGAAAGAGTTTTGTAAACAAGGAAATACATGTATTCACTGTTTTAAGCAGACACATTTTAAATATCAAAGCAAGTCCTGATTTGAGACTCCCATTTCCACAGAAGAAAACCAAGATTTGGGCACCACCAACTGAAACTCATTCCCTGACATCCCAAAGCTACCAGAGGATCATGGTAGAAGGCACATGTAATAATCGGTTATCATATGATTTCCCTGAGTAAAATGTATCTCATGCATTCATGAAAAAAAAAAAAAAAAAGGAGAATCCGGCTGCAGCCGGGTTGGATAACCTGACAGCCCGGCCAGGTGGGAGCTTGGCACAGGCACAAGAAAGTTTTTTGAAACATCTTATATATATATATATATATATATTTTTTAAAGATTTTATTTATTTATTCATGAGAGACAGAGAGAGGGAGGCAGAGGGAGAGGCAGGCTCCCAAGGAGCAGGGAGCCCGATGCGGGACTCGATTCCAGGACTCCGGGATCATGACCTGAGCCGAAGGCAGACGCTCAACCATCTGAGCCACCCAGGCGCCCCTTAATATATTTTTTTAAACGAAGGGAAAATCAGAAGTCATGGAGCTTCCTATTTTTGTTCCCTGTAACAAATCGGAAGAGGACACTACAAATTCTGGATTTTAAAGGTCTTAATCTATTCGTGGCACGGTCTTTTTCTGAACCTGGGCGGAGAGCCTGAGTCACCCTGCGAGGAGTGGCTGCCCAGCTGCCTGGCCAGAGCTGGTTGCCGGGCCTTCGCTCGGGAGCGCGCGGTGAGTGCCAAGGGTCTGTACACCGAGCTAGGACTGGGGTGACCTTGGACTCCCAGACCGGCGGCCACCAGGTCCCAGCAGGAGCCTCGGCGGGGGTGGGGCCGGCGGGAAGGGGCGGAGTCCCGCCCACCCAGGCTATAAAGACTGGCGGGGAGGAGCGCGCGAGCCGCGCGGTGTTAGCCCCGGGACCCCTGGTGCGGGCAGGTAAGGTCCGAGGCGAGGAGGGCCCGAGCCGCACCCCCCAGCCTGCGGCCGCAGCTACCTTAAGCCGGCACGTGCGCTCACCGGCGTCTGGGCCCGGGCCGGCGGAGACCCCGGACCGAAGGAGGTGCTTGGGCCTCCCTCCCCAGACCCCTCCGGAGGTGCGGCCCTCGGCCCGCAGCATTCCGGCCCCTGAAGCCCCTCCCCAGAGAGCCCGGCGGAACGCTTCTTTTGCTAACAAAAAGAGAAGCGCGGGGATGCGGGGGGAGGGGGGGAGGAAGAGGGCGCTCTTTCCAAAACACCGCAGATTCCGCGCGCCGTGCCCTCCATTGCGTCGGGAGTATCTTTCCGAAACCCCCACCACGTGCCCTTGCGTCACTGTGAAGGGAAGCTGTTGTAATTTAGGGAGGAGGAGTCGCGCCTTGAAAGGAGGTTAGCCTGCTCCCCGCTCCCCGCCGAGTGGTAACAGACCTGGTCGGGACCGACAAATCTGGAATTGCGGGGGAAAGGACGGGGCCGAAACGTAGACATTCTAAGTCCAAGTCTGGTGTGACGTTTCGTTTGGAGGGGCTCCACCCCTCCCGGAGTGTGACAGCGGGATTTTAAAGAACTGTTAACTAGTTGTGTGTGTGGTTGTTTCATGAGAAGCAGGCGCTCCCCGGATCCTAGAAATGTGCCAGGTTAACATGTTCCGTTTCTCCCCTCGCTGCCGCAAGTGCACGGTGTCCGGGAAATGGGCCCTAGCAGGGGGCCTGCCGCAATCCACCCTGAGCGCTGGCATCCGCTGATAACGCAGGCCGCGGATCTTGACGCTCTGCCCGCGGGTGGCCCCGTTTGTGAAATCGTACACTCCTCTGGTGGCCACCTCGTGAAGGCGCTAGGCCCGCGCCTTGCTCAGCGTGTCCATTTTGAGGGTGTTTTCCCTACTCTCGGTTATCCGCTGTGTACATTCTGAAGGCGCTGCCCGCTGTGACCAGCTGATTCTTTTTTTAAAAGTCGTGTTCTTACCGGTGGTGACTTTCTCGTAAAGAGGCCAGGGGATCCCAGCGGAGACCTGGCTCCCCACCCCTACTCAACTGCAATACCGCTACTTCTTTCTAAGCAAATCAGCCCATACATTTTGCAGATTTAGAGACACAGCGCCTCTGTCACGTTAGCTTGTGATAATAAACAATTTCTGAAATGGAGGGAGAGACTTAAAACACGGTAGTTAACCCAGAGATTACTAGGTGTTCAGTTCTCGGGGAAACACCTCTTTTCTACCACTTTGCCCAGCCTTGTCTGGCTTAATCTGTTGGCTCTGGAATCCACTTAGAGTCAAGTACAATTTGAAGCCTCCTATGCGTGAGGAGAAGTGGTGAATTTGCGCTTCGCTACCGAGTTCATGTGTCACAGGGTAGTGGTCGGGGGCCTGGGCAACGGACCAGAGTTTGAACCTTGGCTCTGCTGTTTACTGGCTGGGTAATCCTGAGCAAGGTATTTAACTGCATCTTCTTATCAGTAAGATAATAGGCCTCAATTTCTAGGGTGTTATAAGAACTAATGGAGATAATTCGTGGAAATCAGTTTGGCACCTGTTTGTGGAGAACAACGGTGGCTGTTAATATTTCGCGGACCGTTGTCATGACCCGATAGCAGCTGTTCTTGTTTGCCACGGGGCCATCTCACTCCCATTTCTCTAAGGAAGCCATACAGACCTCAGAATGTTCCTTGAGGGTGGGTGGCAACATTTCTCAAACTGTGGATATTTACTCTGGTGGTAAATGTATAACCCCAGGGTAGGTAGGGAGTATTCCGGAGCTCCACCCATGCCTGCGATTTGCGACTTCTGTATTTTCAAAACAAAAACAGGAAATCTTTTGCTGAAGCTTGTTGTAAGGGGAACAGCCCATTATGCTGAGTGGTTTGAAAGATAAAAGCCCACATAAAATGGGCTTTCAAATGAGGAGAGCAGGTGTGTAATGAAATTCATCTTTCACAGCTACGGGTAGGTACAAGCTCTTGAAAAGAAGCAGATTAAAAATTCCGGGCCAGCTCTTGAACTTCGGCCAGGCTGCCACAACAAAGCCAAGTCCATACGTGCCTGAGGTTTTCCAAAGGGGAAGACATTTTTTTAAATTTTATTTTATTATGTTATGTTAGTCACCATACATCACATCATTAGTTTTTGATGTAGTGTTCCATGATTCATTGTTTGCATGTAACACCCAGTGCTCCATGCAGAACGTGCCCTCCTTAATACCCATCACCAGGCTAACCCATCCCCCCACCCCCTCCCCTCTAGAACCCTCAGTTTGTTTCTCAGAGTCCATAGTCTCTCATGGTTCATATCCCCCTCTGATTTCCCCCCTTCATTTTTCCCTTCCTACTATCTTTTTTTTTTTTAACATACAATGTATTATTTGTTTCAGAGGTACAGGTCTGTGATTCAACAGTCTTGCACAATTCACAGCGCTCACCATAGCACATACCCTCCCCAATGTCTATCACCCAGCCACCCCATCCCTCCCACCCCCCACCACTCCAGCAACCCTCAGTTTGTTTCCTGAGATTAAGAATTCGTCGTATCAGTGAGATCATGATACTTGTCTTTCTCTGATTGACTTATTTCGCTCAGCATAATACTCTCTAGTTCCATCCACGCTGTTGCAAATGGCAAGATTTCTTGTTTTTTGATGGCAGCATAATATGGGGAAGACATATTTTTACCTAAGCCCCAGATCTTTGTGAACATCTTCACTGAACCATTGGCTGTGCATGCATAATCCCAAAGGGTAGGGCCTTGAGGAGGATCTCTCCAAAGACACCCTCTTTGGAAAGTTCCATAGCTCTTGGGGTCCTGGAACAAACGGCAGGCAAGCTGCCAATTTATGTGGTTTAGAGAGTTTTGGGGTGGTTGTCTCTGGCAGCAGGACCTCAGGGTGGCTAGGAGGGGCTGGCCACCATTATGATGGTGGCTTTCTGTTTGTCTCTTCCTTCTGATGTAATGACTTCCCTGAACTGAGTAACTGCTTTCTGGCTACGCGTATCTGCACGCATGACCACAGCAGGCAGTGTGTGTGTCCAGGATGTTACGGGGGCAAAGCTTCAGGCCTCCGACAGTAATGCTAAGTCACTTGTGGGTGGGAAGCCCCCACTGAATGGAAGCCAGTCCACCCCGTATGGCTCTGCCAGAGTTTGTTGCCTTGGGACAGGTAACTTCATTCCTGGGCTTCTAAGAATTTCCTGTAAAATGAGCACATTGGGTTTTATTTTTGAGGACACTGCTAGCCTTAAAGTTCATCAGCCTCTAAGGCGCCACGCTTCTCGGAGCAGTGACCAGACTGTGGGTGTTTGTGAATCTCTCGGAACCAGTGCTGATGTGAAGTCTTTTCTCCGTGGCCTCAGCTTAACTAATTTATTTCAGAAGCTTAATTCACAAGAAGTCTCTCCTCCAGAGAGTTTAACTGTGGTTAAGACCTCAGACCTGGGTTTAAATGCTGCTCTAACTATGTACCAGGTTTCTATTGCTGCTGAAACAAATCACCACAAATTTAGCGGCTTAATACAGATTTATTAATCTTGCGGTTTTGTATGTCAGAAGTCTGTCATGGGGGCGCCTGGGTGGCTCCGTTGGTTAAGCGACTGCCTTCGGCTCAGGTCATGATCCTGGAGTCCCGGGATCGAGTCCCACATTGGGCTCCCTGCTCGGTGGGGAGTCTGCTTCTCCCTCTGACCCTCTTCCCTCTCGTGCTCTCTCTCATTCTCTCTCTCTCAAATAAATAAATAAAATCTTTAAAAAAAAAAAAAGTCTGTCATGGGCCTCACCGGGGCTGCGTTCCTTTCTGGAGGCTCTGTGGGAGAATCCATTTCTTGCTCATTCAGGTTATTGGCACAATAGAATCCTTGTAGGAGGACTGAGGTCCCATTTCCTGGCCATGTGTCAGTTGAGGACTATTCCAGAGGCCACCTGTATGCCTCGGCTGTGGACTCCCTTCATCCATCTGCAAAATCAGCGGTAGTAGGAGAGCTCCATCCTCCTTGAATCTCTTCATCTCTTCTCTCTCCTTTTTTTTTTTTTTTTTTTGAGAGTGCATGAGCAGGGTGGGGAGGGGCAGAGGGAGAAGGAGAGAGAATCTTAAGCAGGCTCCACGCCCAGCATGGAGCCCAATGCGGGGCTCAGTCTCACAACCCTGAGATCAGGACCTGAGCTGAAATCAAGAGTCAGACACTTAAGCAGCTGAGCCACGGAGGCACCCCAAGATTTTATTTTTAAGTAATCTCTATACCCAGCATGGGACTCGAACTCAAAACCCTGAGATCAAGAGTTGCACGCTCCACAGACTGAGGCAGCCAGGTGCTTCTCTTGCTTCTCCTATTTTCACATCTCTCTGACAGACGCTGTTGCCTTCCTCATCCTCTTCATTGTAATCACCCACGTGATTCTGGATAATCCAGAACCATCTGTAACCTTAATCTCTACAGAGTCACTTGCCATCTAAGGTTGTTGGTATCCACAGGCACTGGGAATTAGGGTGTGGACATCTCTCAGGGGGAGAGGCGTTATTTATCCTACCTACCACTGTTGCCTTAGTTCATTCCCCTCCTCAACCCTCAGTTCCCTCCTTTGATAAAGGGAGGCAGGGATTAAATTTACTTTACAGCATTGTGTGAGGATTCAATGCAGTTAATACGTCAAGCACCAGCAAAGCAACCGGCCATACCTTTTGCTCACCGAAAGAAAGAAGTGTTTGCTTACGGCTGGCGTGCGGTGACATCAGACCCAGTGTAATCACACGGGCCGTAAAAGGAGAAGCCTTTAATTATTTAATCGGAACGGACAGCTTCTCTCAAAGCATTGTTAGAGACGCTTCCAACCCCATCTAGAGTAGCCTCACGCGTGTCCCAGGTCACTCACTAACCCAGTGGTTCTCAGTGTGTGCCTGGTTAGAAATGCAAAATCTTGGGACCCTGAGACCTGGAGACTCAGAACCTCTAGATGGGGTTCAACATCTGTGCTTAACCGCCCTCCAGATGATTCTTCTGCCACTCAAGATTTAGAACCAGTGCTGCGCCCTTATTTTATTTTCTTCCTAGTTTTTAGCACGAGCTGCTGTCCACCTCTGCTAGACAAGAGCAGGGCCTTGCCTGGTAAGGCACTGTAACGCAGCGCCTGGCAGGACACCTGCTCACAGTGGGTTCATAGACAATTGTTGTGGGGTGAACAGGGCATAGATGTCAAGACTGAACATACTTCACAGTAGTAAAGAGACCCACCAGTGAATTTCTTTTGTTTGCTTCAGTTCCGTCATGAAATAGTTGGTGTGTTAAATGCTTCATGTTTAAATTCCTGTGGATCATTTAGATAGATAGATATTTGAAAGGACTGGTTGGGGCCTTTGGATGGATAGTAGTAACATGACTTTGTTTTTCTTTTAAAATGATGGAATCTAGGGGGGAAATGGAATATAGGGTCACACTATCCGTAAATTTGCTAGTCAGAACATTTTCAGGAACTTGATCGGGAATGCCTGTGTTTGTAAATCACCTTGCAGTGTTTTAGGTTCCTCTGATATCTCTCGCGAACTTACAACCCTGAGATCAAGAATAGTGATCAGGTTGGTGTGCATTTGTCTGCTTTTTTCTTCCTTAACCTGCTATGTTTTAGTCCATATCGAGCTGTAAACTTTTCAAGTCTTATTCTTATGTTTTATCATTATATAAAATCATTATTATCCCTTCACAAGTGAGGAATGGAAGTAAAGGAATGGACTGTTTCAAGGTTGTGTGAGTTGGCAGCAATGTGGGATTAGAACATAGGTCTCTTTCTCTCAAGACTGGTAGAAAATCGTCCAAGCCTCAAATTTTACAAATACAGAGTATGACTAAAATAATTGCTGTCAGACAGATGCAGGAGAGTATATGTACATGAAACCCTTTTAACCTCAAAGAAGCCAATTCTGAAAGGTGGTATATACGTTTTATACCTAATCAGGTTCAGTAGTAGAAAAATAAAAAGTTAAGAAGCTACAAGGGAAATGGTTCATAAGTACATTATTATCCTGCTATTGTGTTGAGGGCTCTTTCTATAAAAGTGTTTATTGTTAAGAGAATGTATTTCAGCATGAGTAAGCTACCAATAATTCTACCGTTCTGTCAACCACGGTTTCCAAAAATGTTCAGAATAGATGATATGGTATTCCAAGCATTGTATCTTTGAGAAAAAGGAATAAGATTATAGCTATTTTTAGACTGGCTTTTTCCTTAATACACTGTGAGCAGCCTTCCCTGGCTGGCATTCCTCACGGCTGTGCACTCCCCCACAAGGAATTGTTTGCTAATTTACTTATAGCCAGGTCTGTTGCCAGATTTTTGCTATTTTATTTTATTTACTTATTTTTAAAGATTTTATTTATTTATTTGACAGAGAGAGACACAGCGAGAGAGGGAACACAAGCAAGGGGAGTGGGAGAGGGAGAAGCGGGCTTCCTGTGGAGCAGGGAGCCTGATGCGGGGCCCCATCCCAGGACCCTGGGATCATGACCTGAGCTGAAGGTGGCCGCTTAATGACTGAGCCACCCAGGCGCCCCTTATTTTTGCTATTTTAAACAATAGGTATGTATCCTTGAGTGAGTAATAAGTATTTACCTCATCCTGCAATGAAAAGCCTATTTGGAGCACCCCGGAACTTCTGAGTCAAGTTCAGAACCTCCCAGGAAAACCCGTCCAAACTCCTAAAGCTGGCTTCAAGTGAGTTTTGCAACTCCAAAATAGGCTCACCCGTAGGCTCACCCGTCTTTATTCTGTGGATCTTATTTAGAGAGACTTTAGTCTGTTTCCAATCATTAAATTCACTGTTGGCTGTTTCAGTGAGTTCTTATGTTTGGAAAAGAGAGTGTTGAGGCCCTCTGGGTACATCTTGCACGGAAGCGCTTGGCTTGGGTGGATTGGAGAATCATAGCAGCTCTCGTGCCTTGGCCACCATCCGACGTACGCTTACTTACGGGCATCATTTAAAGCGTCCAGTGGAGACTGTTTTAGACCGGGGGGGAAGCGCCTCTGGAGTGCCAGGCACTGTCCCCTGCGGTCTGTGTCACTATCCCCAGGCTGGCTGAAGGGCTGCCCGAGGCCTTGTTCCAGCTCTCCAGACCAGACAGCCGGTCCCTTCCCCAGCTCGTGGCTTTTCTGCTTTTGTTAAGAGATGTGCCTTTCCGGGGCGCCTGGGTGGCTCAGTAGTTAAGCGACTGCCTTCGGCTCAGGTCATGATCCCAGGGTCCTGGGATCGAGCCCCGCATCGGGCTCCCTGCTCAACCGGGAAGCCTGCTTCTCCCTCTCCCACTCCCCCTGCTTGTGTTCCCACTCTCTCGCTGTGTCTCTCTCTGTCAAATAAATAAAAAAATCTTAAAAAAAAAAAAAAAAAAGATGTGCCTTTCCTAGGAGAGGTTCTTTCTCATGCACTCCATCCGGGAACCCTCCTCCGTGTGCCACCCTGTTTGTCCTGGTGGTGGTGTCATTTGTGCTAAGGGCCATTCCAGGGCAAGCCTGGAGCCACAGTTCCCGCCAGCCTGATGCCCTGCTGGTCCTGTCCTCCAGTGGGGACACTGGATGTTGCAGCCATTCTTACCTTGTAGCTCCTGCCCCCTGTTGGGGGGGGGGACCTCAGATGGATACCTTCCCCTCCTTGCTCACTCGCAGGCAGCTGTTCTTCACAGACCTGAGCCCAGTCTCACTGGAGCATGTAGATCATTCTCTCTCCCCAGAAACTCCTGAGCGAGAGAAGCCAGGCGGGGAGCTGGCAGGGTGCCGAGGCCCAGTCCACTCACTGGTGAGGGGAGAGTGGATGGGGCTCTTTCGTGTCCCTCATCTGGCTCCGGGCAGAGGGCACGGGGTGCCAGCAGGAGGTGCTGAGGGCTCTTTTCCATCCATTAGGGTGCGGAGACCTCAGGACACCCACCTCTCAGGGTCAGGGGCCAGGAGGAAAGATCCACGAATCCTCAGGTCCTCGGAATGGGAGGTGCAGTAGACATGCCCGTCTGAGTCAGGGCAGGAGGTCTGTGGTTGGTAACATCCCCCACTTCCCTGGGCTTGGCTGTGTCCCAAGCACATGCTTGTTTTACCTCACTGAATCCTCACGGTGTTGGGAAGCACCTCAGCGCCTGCCCCTTGTCATAGCTGAGGTAAATGTGGCTGGGGGGCAGTGACCCCTGCGCCCCTCACGGCCTCACTGTGCAGGGCTGCTGAGGGCAGCTAACCCCCTGCAGGGTCGGTGTGGGGTGGGGGGTGGCCATTCGGAGGCTGTTGTAGATTTTGAAGACGCCGGAGGGAAGTGGGGGTTACTTGTAAAGAAAGGCCAGGCTCCGTTTGATTTTCTTCCTGGTTCCCCACACATCAGAAAGCAGCCTGTCTCTTTCCTCCGGGCCTGACCTACTCGGTGTTTTCTTCTTTGGGCAGTGCCAGAACCTGTTCTTTCTGCTTCGCAACCCTCCCCTGACCCTGATCAGCCAATTTCTGAGCCGCAGATGACCTTCAGAGGTATAAGGATGACATTCCTAACTGAGGTGGGGGTGGGGGGTCGCCCAGCAAGAGCCCCCGCTGTCTGCCGGGCCGGCCCGTGGGGCTGAGAGGAGGAGAGCGTGGAGCACCCTGCTTTAGAGGCGCTCTTGCCTCCTTGTTTCAGGGGGTGGGGTCAGGGAAGTAGCGGCAGGATTGGGAGACTCGTGGCTTAGATTTAGACGGTGGCTTAGACTTAGACGGTGAGAAACTTCTCTGTGTTCTGGCTTCCTTGTCAGGTGAAAGGTGAACAAGGCACTGTCTCCATCACACTGGTTACGGTGGGGAGCCAGAGCTTCTGTGCATGCTAAACCTTTGCCTCCTGTTCTGCTGCAGAAGGCCTGCTGGTGCCCTCCAGACTCACCCCTTGGGTCTGACACACTTGGTGGCATGGCCTGCAGAGGTGGCCCTTGCTAGGCCCCCCTGCTCCGCCAGCAGCTTGGGGCTGGGCCTGCAGAGTGGGAATTGTAGTTGCTGTATTAAGTATTTTCCTCACATTCTCATTTGACTCAGCAACCCTTCTGGGGAACAGAGTGCCACCCCCACTGCATAATCGTGACCACTGCGGCTTGGATGGACTAAGGTTTATTCAAAGGTAACTGTTTATTCCCGGCCGCCGTAGGTGAGAGCTGGGGCAGGGCCCGGGTATTGCCGACGCTTGGCCCTGTGTGCGTTGACTCCCCGTAGCTGCCCCTCCCACCAGGATGGCGAGCATTTCTTCCGTAACCTGAGGTTTGGGGGCAAGAGGAGGGACCAGGAGAGCACCTTGGTTCATGGCACCCCAAACCATTTCTTGCTCTGCTAGCTCCTTCCCCGTGTTTCCTAAAGGCTCCAGGCCTTCCAACTGTTGGTTTCTGAAATAGCCAGCAGTCCTTAGCAGTCCTTTGTTGGTGCATGACAACCCTCTGCGTCCCTTCCTTCCAGATTCTGCGGACAGTCACCATGGGAGGCAAAGGAGGATTCATCCCGCTGCTGCTTGTCCTGGCTGTCCTCTGCCATTCAGGTGAGTGCCCAAGGGGACGTGGATCCAGACCATCTAGGACCTGGCTTTGCTTCTTTGGCCTTCCAGTGTGACAGGTCCAGGGCCATGTGACCTCTCCCTCCTGCATTACAGCCGTGCCCTCCTTGGAGCACCTTCCTGAGTGACAGCCTGTCCTGGGTGACAGAGTAGCTTCTCGGGGGGAGCAGGGCAGGGGGGACACGCAGCAGCTGGAGTTTCTCCCTCTCGCCAGCTGTTGGGGACCCCACTGGGAGCCATCTTTAGGGTGTTGAGCTCTGTGCAGGGGCGTCCACCGTGCGCTGGTGAGGACGACGGTCCTAGGAGCAGCTGCGGCGGCTAGCTCACGGCACTCATGTGCCGACCGCTCTTCTCAGCGTTTCGTACGCACCCACTTACTGAATCCTCCTGTCAGTGCCATGGAATAACTCCTGGTTTTGCCATCATCTTATAAATGACCAGACTAAGGCCCAAAGAGGTGAACTAATTTGTAAAACGTCACACACAAGTGGTGCAGCCCGAATTTGAGCCCCAGATGGACTGGCACCCAAGTGTCTGCTCTGAACTGCTTCCCCAGTAGTTGTGTGTTCCTGAGTCTTAGTTCTGTAATGGTAGAAACACCTCTGTTACTGGGGCGCCTGGGTGGCTCAGTCAGTTAGACTGACTCTTGATTTCCCCTCAGGGTCATGAGATCAAGCCCCGCATCAGGCACCCCACGCAGCGGGGAGTCTGCTTCTCCCTCTCCCTCTGCCCCTGCCCTGCTCCCTCACTCTCTCGCTCTCAAACAAATAAATCTTAAAAACAAAAAACAAAAAAACCCCACCTGTACTACTTGTTTTGCTTCATGATAAGGATCAGTTTTTTTTTTTTTTTTCTGCCTCTGTGCAATTAGTTCTGCCAGTTTTTCAGGGGTTTTTTTGGTGGGGGAGAGGCAGAAAGGGAGGTAGCAATGCAATGAGCAATGAAGAGATCTCTGCTGTGTCAGAGCATGTCTTAGATATTATTAGCTTTAGCAGCTCCCATATATTGAATTCTTTCTGTGTCCTAGGGACTGTGCCAAGCCCGGTCTCACTTAACCCTTCCAGCCACCCCATGAGGGATCATGGTTGTTCTTTCCATTTTACAGCTGAGGGAACTGAAGCAAAGAAGGAACTAGCCTAAGGACACATTTGAATATGCTCTCCCTTTCGAGAGAAAAAAGAGAGAGAAAAAAGAGCTGTCATGACCCTCCCTGCCCACCTCTGTCACTCCCAGCTGGGGTGGGTGCTGATGCAGCTTCATGACCCTCCCTGCCCACCTCAGTCACTCCCAGCCAGGGCGGGTGCTCATGTGGCTCATGCCTGTGACAACACGACGTGACCGTCTCTGTTCTTCTGCCAGGTGTAGTCCCTGTGGGCAGAATCGCCTGGTGATGCCCGAGCTCCAGCAGCCGGCATCTGCCTACAGAGCAGGCTTGGGTTTGGGGCCAGCAGCTGCTCTGTGACAGGTCCCCGGCCCTTCCACAGAGAGTCAGGGTCTGTCCGGAGCACGAGCACACGCAGGGGAGATGCGTCCTGGCTGCTGCCTGGGCTCTGAGGAAAATGCAGGGGAGTCTTCCTCTCATCTCTGTGAGCCCAGAGTCAGATCCCTGCACAGTTTGTGCTCTTTCCTTCTCTTTCCCGCTCTGGACCGTTAGAAGAATGTCATGGTTAAACCAAGCTTGGGTTTCAGCACCGATGGCCTGGGTTTGAGTCCCAACTCTCATTTGTAACGTGAGACTTTGGACAAGTTAGTTAACATTTTAGTCCTGTTTTCTCTTCAAACATGGGGCTGGAGATCACTGAGCCTACCTGTCATAACAGTTCTGCAAAGATCAAGAGCTTAGCATGAGGCACACAGGATCTCTGCACACCGAATGAACATGTCAGCTGTATCTGCCCCACACAAGTTCCCACACAAGCTTTGGTTCCTCTGTCAAGAAGCCAGAAGAGGTCTGGCTGTGGCCAGGAGAAGAGTCAGTCCTCAGAACAGCCTTTTCAGATGGCCCTCCCCAGTATCCAGGCTAGAATATTCTTCCCTCTTTCATCCTACCCTCCCACGCAGGTGTATACATCTGGAACAGGGAGGGGACTGCAGAAAAATCGCATCTTTGTCCCTTCTCATGGTGGCCCCCCTCACACAGGCACAACTTAACGCTAACTAACATTGGGAGGGAGGAGGCAGAGTGGGCTAACAGAGCCTGGCCCCTGGCTGTGGGGGCTGGCTCCGGCCGTGCTGCTTTGGGTGTCCTTCGGTGTCCTTGGGTGAGCCACGTCACCTCTTCAGGCATCTGTCATCTGCAAACAAAGTGGGTGGGGGAGCGTTTTTTGGACTGACATTTCAAAGGTTCATCTGGAACCTTCACAAATCAGAGCGTCCTCTGCTAGGTGGGATTTCACACCTGTGAAGGCAAGCATGGCCATTTTATATGTTACAGAGAGCTTGATTCCTGTGGTGCTCAGATAGTGAGGAGCCACTTTCTTCTGGCCTTCTGGAAAATTCCCTTCCCTGCGTGAGGAATGTAGGCTTTGGCCTTAGAACTACAAGTCAGCTCTTGGGTTCTAAAACCCACACTGGGTCTGGGTTTAACCATGACATTCTTCTATGAGATTTTACATATTTCATCTTTGAAAATGTCTTTTCACACAGATATGTACTGCCAGATAACTGAGTATCAGTCTAGGAGAATGTGATCAAAAAGAGCGTATTCATGGCCTGGAAGGCATTTATAGAATTCTGTTAGTTTTTTCTTTTGATAGTTTCCATTTAATATGTCATTACATTGCAGATTAAGCACTTCTTTTTTTTTTAATCACTTCTAGTTGAAGGTAAGAGGAAACTTCTCCATTGCATGATTATGTGGATTTTATTTTTTGGGCTTTTGGGTTTTTTTTTTTTATTTTATTCATTTATTTGTCAGAGAGAGAGAGAGAGAGAGAGGAACACAAGCAGGGGTTGGGGGAGAGGGAGAAGCAGGCTTCCCGTTGAGCAGGGAGCCTGATGTGGGGCTCGATCCCAGGACCCTGGGATCATGACCCGAGCCGAAGGCAGATGCTTAACCGACTGAGCCACCCAGGTGTCCCAGTTCGGTGGATTTTGAAATATGGAAATTCCTTTTGCACTTGTATCAGGGTCCAAAAAATGCTGCTGGAACTGTAGCTTGAGGTTGGGAAAATATACCTGCTACAGGTTTGTGCGGGAACGGAAGCAGGCTATGAGTTGCCGACCTCGGCCTCATACCAGTGGCGATGGTGGTCTCCCTTCTGCTGCCAGGGAGGGGCAAGTCAGTGGAGATCTTACAAGCACTGACAGGGTTTCTTCTTGATTCTAGGTCATAGCCTGACATGTTACACCTGTGTTGCCAGTGAGGTGTGCAATAAGACCACCGTTTGTTCGCCTAATCTTGATGCGTGTCTTTTGGTCAACGCCGGTAAGAGCCTGCCCCTTCCCTGTCTCCTTAGAGTAACGGGATGATGAGGGTCTGGGAAAAAATGTGTGCCACGCTCGTTCTCATGAGACCTGTATTCAACAAGTAATGGTTACCATCTAAGAAATAAAAATAAAAGCACCCTTCAAGGTTATTCTCTTTTTTCTACCCTCTACCACAAAGTCCCTCCAGGGGCATCGTCAGGGAATGCTGCACACGTCTGGTAAACTCATAAAAGGCTCGGGAGACCCACAGGTTCAGGAAAACCTGATAGAAAGGAGGAGAAGATTAATTTCCCCAGAAGGAGAAATCCCTCAATAAGTAAGGACACATCAGAATTATCCTGTCAGAGTAAACGATCTGATCATTTTGATGTCAAGTCCTGGAATGTGGGTAACATTCTGAGCCCTATGTATGCGAGGTCCTTGATTCTGGAGGGGGACAGGTTCTCTGCCTCCAGAGGACCGCGATCATTCATTGTTAATGTCGAAAGCACAGTAAGCCCCCTGGAGAGAATGTAGCCATTCGTCCCACAGATATTTGAAAACCAGTTCTATGTGAGCACATACATCAAGTTAACCTTGATCATCTGTGTCTCTTGGACCCCTCCCAACTACAAAAAGTGTAATTTCCAAATGAGAGAATAAAGGCAGTATTATGTGTAGAGTAAGAATTAGATTTGCAGTTAGGAGCTCTGAACTCCAATCTCTGTCCTGCCTCCAGTAAGTTCTTTGCCTGTGTTTTTTGGTTTATGAAATGTGTGTGTTGGACGGTAGAGGTGAGGAGGAGAGGGAAGTAGAGTAGAGCCAGAATCTTTTTTCCAGCTCTCAAATCCCAGTGTTTCTTACCGGGTTGGTAAACTTTTATGGAAAATGTTTCCAACTTTATTGAAGCATAATTGACAGATAAAAATCGTGAATACTAGAGGGGTATAGTGTGAAAATTTGATATTTGTATACATTGGGAAATGATTATGGCAGTGGTCTGATTAACACGTCCAGCAGCTCACGTAGTTACCCCTTTTTGTGCGTGACGAGATCACTAAGATCTACTCTTAGCAAATTTCAAGAATGTAATACAGTATTAGTAACTAGACTCACCACGCTGTTAAGATTAGATACCCAAAGCTTATTCATCTTAAAATGAATTGTTCAGCTTTTAAAAGTGGTTTGTGCAAATAAGACACACCTATTAAGAGTGGCCAAAATCCAAGATGCTGGCAGCACCAAATGCTGGCAAGGATGTGGAGCAATGGGAACTCTTAGTCATTGCTCGTGGGAATGCAGAATGGTACGGCTTGGCAGTTTCTTAATAAGCTAAACATACTCTCCCCATATGATTCAGTAGTCACTGAATATTTACCCAAAGGGATTGAAAACCCATGTCCACACAAAAACCTGCACACAGATGTTTGTAGCAGCCTGATTTATAGTTGCCAAAATTTGGAAGCAGTCAAGATGTCCTTTGGTAAGTGAATGGATAAACGAGCCGTACATTGTAGTGCATCTAGAAAATGGACTAAAAATAAATGAGCTATTAAGCCATGAAAATACATGAAGGAAATTTAAATACATATTACTAAGTGGAACAAGCTAATCTGAAAAGGCTACATCATGGACCATTCCAGCTATAGAACATTTTGGAAAAGGCGAAGTTAGGAGACCATAAAAAGGTCAGTGGTTGCCAGGGGTTAGCAGGAAGGAGGGAGGGATGAAAAGGTGGAACACAGGATTTTAGGGCAATAAAACAACTCTATATAATACTCTATTGGTGGATATTTGTCCTGCATTTGTCAAACCCCGTATGACACCCAGAGCGAACCCAATGTAAGTCATGGACTTTGAACGGTAACGGCGAATCCATGTAGGTTCATCAGTTGTAACAAGTGGGCCACTCTGTGGGGGACGCGAAGAACAGGTTCTTCAGGGTAGGGAAGGGGGTCCCGGGGAGCCAAATGAGAACTCTACTTTCTGCTCAGTTTTGCTGTGAATCTCAGACTCCTCTAAAGAATAAAATCTGTTTTTTTTTAAAGGATAATTTGAATCTTAAATATTTTTCTTCTTATGAACTTAAGTCCTAAAACTTCAGCTTGACATGTGATGATAGCAGTTCTTGAAATACAGACACTCTGACCTTACAGTAGGACAGATCCTACCAGAGCGCCTCAGTCCCCCTCCAGCTGGGATGGACATCTCCTGGGAGAGGCAGGGCACACTGTCGTCATAAACACGAGTGAAAGGTCAGGTACTCCAGTGGAGAAATCATTCCACGACTCTAGCCACACCCTACCCTCTCCCCCACTGTAAAAGAGGAATATTTCTCTCCCAGGGTCAGTGGGACAGAGGAGAAAATGGGTATGTTGGTGCCGTACAGAGAGTCTAGAAGAGAGGAGGCAGGTATTAGGTGTTCATTCAACCACTATTTACTGGTGTCCCAGCCTGTCCCAGAACTGTAAACCACGGACTTAGACTGTGGCATAAGCCTTTGGGGACGGCACCGAGTGATCATTGCCCGAATGACCTTATGAATAAGGGGCGCACGTAGAGGTGCCAAGAATAATGAGGGACTGTTGCTTGGTGAAGTTAGATTCAAACTAAGTCTTCAAAGAGATCAGGGATGATGCGCCCAGCAGAGAGACTCTTAACATTCTGGGGACTCTGATCCACCTTATTTGGGTAATTCTGCTAGTGGCTTGGTGAGAAGCTCACCATCGGAGGTTGTTATGCAAATGAGATCATTGAAGTAGAGTGCTTGGCTCACTGCAGGCCATGGAGTAAACGATTCATTCATTGGTAGCAATTATTAATAAACTACTGTGTGCTTTCCCCAGGCTGTTAGGCTCCCCCAATTAAAATTCTGGTCACTTGAATGTTTTTCCAGCTCCGATTCCTGATTAGGCTTACATAAAGCAGTAACTTGTCCTATCCAACAGCATCCTCTAGTTCAGTAGTAGAAGCATCTGCTTAAATACTTATGACCCAAGAAAGTAGAGTCCCTAGAACAGTCTGTGGCCTCTGCCACTTCATCAGATTTCATTAAAATCCAACCCAAGCGCTCATCCCCTCCGAGGGGGAGGATGGGACAGTTATGTCTGCAGTTATAAATGTAGTTTTGTTCCCAGCTATGAATGAAATGAAGTTAGTTACAACAAGCCCTTAATAAGGAAATAGGCATCTGTATGGGTTTTTTTCTTTCCAGCACAGAGGATAAGGGAGTGATCCCAGAGCCAGGACCATCCCTTCTCTGTTGGCGTATCTCCAGCAACTAGCACACCGTGGTCTTGGCACGCATTTTTGGAGAGGAAAATTGACCGTAATGCCTCTCAACCAGCACACTGTTTTTCCCTTAACATAATTTTTCTGAATATTCAAAAACCACAATAAGATATTTGGCATAGATATTTTGGGCCTTTTTTTTTCCATGTGTGCAAAAGTTGGGACCATAATGGCGTGTGTTGTTTTTTTTTTTAATTCTTCCTGTATTACTGAATAGTCCAATAATATTTAAATGAAGTTTAAAATATTTTTTTTTCCTCTGACCAGATTTATTGAACATAAGAAAACTCTATGTACAAAGTGACCTGGACCTGCTGCTTCAAAACATGATCCTTTCTTACTAATATTTGGGTTAAGTCAGTCCACTGAGTGTCAAAAAGCAGCTTACTCTAAAATTAATAGAAATGTGCCCAATACAACACTAAATAAATGGCCTAACTCCTGGGACTTTCATAGTTCTACAAGATCATTTACACAGGTAGGATTGAGCCCTGGTGACAGGCTGCTGGAGAACTGATATAAGCCGTCAAGAGGCCATCTTGTGCACTGCCACAGTGATGCCGTCATGTTTCTGGATCATAATGTTCCCATTATCTGATTCTAGACACACCACAGGAATATCAGTGGGGTCTGAGGTCAGCTTAGCTGCTTGCTGGGCTAGAACAGATATCACCCCAGCATGCTCATCTGACAGGGTCCCACGGCAGCCCAGATTAAGTCCTTGTGAATCTGTGCACAGGACTCCAACAATGGATGGATTCTTCATTGTATCCTCCAAGTGCTGCTCCAAGGTGGCCTCCATCCCGCCCGCCGTCCGCCGGGCCCCTAAAGTATTTTGAAAATAAATCCATCCAATGACTTAAAAAAAAAATCTATACAGAAATATATAAATGAAAGATTGGCTTCTAGGAAGGCAACACTGTAAAACTCCTTGGGAATCTTTCCAAAGAAAATGAATGCATTTACCCCCAGACACACACTTCATTTATGCATATGGCCCCCATTCTACATCCTGGTCTGCATCCATCCTATTGAGATAAAATTCACATACCAGAAAATGTACATTTTACAAGGTACTGTTCAGTGGCTTTTAGTATATTCACAGGGTTGCGCCACTATCGCCACTAACTCCAGAATATTTTTATCCCAGAAAGAAAGCCCATACCCATTAGCAGTCACTTCCCGCCCCTCCCTCCCACATACCGTAACAGATACTAATCGACTTGCTATCTCCATGGATTTGCCTGTTCTGGACACTTAGCTGTGAACTGAATCATACAGTGGGTGTGGCCTCTGTGACCGGCTTTTTCCAGCGAGCAGAGTGTTTATAAGGTTCACCCATGTCAGGGCATGTGTCGATACCTCCAGTCCTTTTTGTGGCTGAGTCACACTCCGTTGCATGGAGAGACCACATTTTGTTGATCCATTCACCAGCCGATGAACATCTGGGTTTCCACTTGGTAGCTGTTGTAAATAATGCTGCTCTGAACATTTGTGTACAAGCTTTTGTGTGAACGTAGTTTTCAGTTCTCCTGGGTGTACATACCTAGAAGTGGAATTGCTAGGTCATATGGTAACTCTTTTTTTGGGGGGGGTATAGTTGACACACAATATTAGGGTAGTTTCAGGTGTATAACTTAAGGCATTTGGCAAGTGTGTGCGTGATGCTGTGTTCACAAGTGTACCTATCACGTGTCCCATTATCCCGCTTTACCAGCAGTGTTGACTCTATTTCCTATACAGTCTTGTCTGCCCGTGACATGCATTCCGTAACTGGAGTCCTGGATCTCCCTCTCCCCTTCACCTGTTTTTCCCAACCGCCCCCCTCCTTCCCTCTTGGCAATCACCAGTTTATGCTCTGTATTTATAGGTCTGATTCCACTTATGAGTAGAATCATACAGGATTTGTCTTTTTCAGTCTGTACTGAGCATAGTACCCTGAGTCTGTACTAAGCATAGTACCCTCTAGGTCCATCCATGTATGTTGTCTCCAATGGCACAATCTCATCCTTTTTTATGGCCACATGATATTCCATTGTGTGTGTGTGTGTGTGTTCCACATCTTTATTCATTCATCTATCGATGGACAGACACATGGATTGCTTCCATGTCTCGGCTATTGTAAATAATGCTACTATAAACGTAGAGGTACATGTATCTTTTCAAATTAGTGTTTTTGTTTTCTTTGGGTAAATGCCCAGCAGTGGAATTACTGGATCATGTGGTATTTATAACTCTTATTTTTAACTTTTTGAGTCATTGCCAGACTTTTCCAGAGTATCAGTGCCATTTTGCCTTCCCCGCAGTGGTGGGAACGGAGGTTTCCAGTTTCTCCACTTCCTTGTCAACACTCGTTCTTTTCCGGTTTCTTCGTTATAGCCATCCTACTGGGTGTGAAGGGAAGCTCACTGTGCTTTTGATTTGTATTTTCCTAATGACTGATGATACTGAACATCTTTTCATGTGCTCATGGGCCATTTGTATATCTTTTTTTGAAGAAATCTCTGCATCCTTTGCTCATGTTTGTATTTTTATTAATGAGTTGTAAGAATGTTTTCTATATTCTGGATACGAGACTCATCATATAATTTGCAAACAGTTTCTCCCTTTTTGTGGGTTGTCTTTGTTTTCTACAGTGCCCATTGATGCACAAAAGTTTTTAATTTTTTTTAAAATTTTTTTAAGATTGTATTTATTTATTTGAGAGAGAGAATGAGGTAGAGAGAGCACGAGAGGGGAGAGGGTCAGAGGGAGAAGCAGACTCCCTGCCGAGCAGGGAGCCCGATGCGGGACTCGATCCCGGGACTCCAGGATCATGACCTGAGCCGAAGGCAGTCGCTTAACCAACTGAGCCACCCAGGCGCCCCAAAAGTTTTTAATTTTAATGGGGTCCAATTTATCCATTTTTCTACATTTTTTTTTTTTAACTCAGACTCCACTTCTCAACACATGGAGGCCTGTGTCCTTCCTTTTCTACCTGGATTTCCATTGTATGGAACTCTACCCTTATTTCTTCAAATGTTTCTTTAGTAATGGACTGATTTTTGTCTTTTAGTTTCTTGTTGTGATAGATGGTGATGCCGTGACCATTCTCGAGCATCTATCTTAACCTTTTTCACAAGTAACATCATAGAGTCAATTCTAGACATAGGATTGTTGGATCAAAGGGAATGTGGGTTTAAAAGTCTCAGCAAACCTCTAAAACACCAGCGTGATTGGCTACTGCACCACAAACTTTACGGGCTCTGATGAAACTTTGGTTTTAGGGAAAAGTTCTACATCTTGAGCTGTATCATCATTTGCTCAGTCATTCCCTAGCCCAACTAGGGTACCTGTTGTTGCCCAGTAGTCTCTACTTCCATGAGTAGCTAAGTTCTAGGAAATAGAATCGAGAGGTCAAAGGCAGGTACCGAACTGTACCCGCGGGCTTGCTTACCCTTGTGTGTGTCTTTCCCCCACAGAGCCAAACCTTTTTTACCACCACTGTTGGAAGTTTGATGATTGCAATTACAACTTCATCTCCAAAGCCTTAGGGCTGAGGAAGCTCGAGTACCGCTGTTGCCAGCAGGACCTGTGTAACAGAAACGCCGCGGCCCGGGGCGCCGGCAGCCAGGCTCTGCTGCTGAGCCCCCTGCTGGCGGCAGTCTGGACCCTTTGTCTCTAAATCAACACCGGGAGGCCTTCTCCTAATCTGTGTGTTTCTGTATATTTCTTATTTCCTTGGCTGCTGCCTTCCAAATTTTTCACCTGGATCCCGCTGGGCAAGACTAAAACTAGCTCAAGACTAAGAGAGAGACTCTGAGAGACTTTGAAGACCAGTTCCTCCGGCAGCGAAGACCCATTGGAGGGACAAAATGTAAGGGCGCAGCTTGTGCCATCTGAGCTAGGTCACATGCTGCTTCCTCGGCTTTGCAAGAGTAGCCTCGCCGTGACAGCTTGAGTACCTTAGATTCTCTGCATGCCCCGGTCATTTCCCCTCTGATGGCTGGGAGGTAGTTACTAAATACTCTGATCAGTGCTTTCTGGGGTGGGGGGGAGACTGGGGCAGGGGATTCTTTTCAACAGCCTCTCCCAGGGAATGCCTTCATCCTCTCCCTTTATGGCCCCCCATGCTGCCATGCCGGCCTGACCAAGCTCCCACGTGTGGGCTGTCAGTCAGGCGCAGCGAGAGTCTCAGCACCGGGTGGGTGGGTGTGATCGCAATGACCTTTGTACTCTCAACTAGCAGGTGTCTGGCAGGGAAGGAGGGGAGCTTCCCACATGGCAGGGTGTGGAACCACCAGGTCTGTCTTCCGAGAGCTAGCAGTTGGCTAAAACCCAAGTTTTCCTCTGTTCGTCAGTTGTGAATGAGCTTTGCTGTCTTCACTAGAAAAACCAAACAGCATATAATAATGATGTGTTAAAACTACCCCCCTGACTTTTGTATCGGATTGGTGGGGTATCTTGGCTTTGTCACACACAGTTAAAGACGGAACGTTGGGACATTCTTTGTTAAAAATTACTTGCAGTAGGGGCGCCTGGGTGGCTGAGTCGTTAGGCGTCTGCCTTTGGCTCAGGTCATGATCCCAGGGTCCTTGGATCGAGCCCAGCATCGGGCTCCCTGCTCCGCGGGAAGCCTGCTTCTCCCTCCCCCGCTCCCCCTGCTTGTGTTCCCTCTCTCGCTGTGTCTCTCTGTCAAATAAGTAAATAAAATCTTTAAAAAAAAAAATCAGGAAAACTTCCTTTAAAAAAAAATGACTTGCAGCATTAAATGTGCCTACTTGTGTACTTTATGAACACAGAGAAGAGCTCTGGGGCTGCAGCTTGGGACCTCCAGATGCCCTCGTAAACAGCAACGGGGGTGTGCTTTTACCTGCGGACACCAGGCCTGTTGACCCCTAGCTGACTTAGCCCCATTTGCGGAGGAGACATTTGTCAGGGTTATTAACATAATCACAAGTGTTGAGGCTTTTGGAAGCTCTCCCAGTTTCCTAAAAAGTGATACACCTTTTCAGGAGGGTAGAGTTTGCTTTTCTTGTGGGTGTTGCTGAATAATTCTCAAGATCCAATAGATGTAAGGACACTTGTATTCTTATGATCTTGGCTGTCTTTAACAGCTTAGCTTGACTGTTTGCAGCTGAAGGTGGGATTTCACGATTAACATTTTTTTAAACCCCTTGATCACATAATCTGTGCGACAAACTGGAATGACGGATGTCTTTCTGAAAATAAAATATAATCGAGTGCATGAGTGTGGTTACTGGCCCAGGAGGAGAGCAGCATCTGCAGTGTGCCCAGTGGTTGCAGCTGGAAGAAGAGAGCCTGCGCAGTGTCAGCTTTCTCCTGTGGACGCCCTTCCTCGAAGAGATACAAATTGGGGCTTCCTCACCAAAACCTAGCATTGCCTTGGTGCTCTGGGTTCCTCACTGGCTCGGTGTCTTTCCTTACATTGTCTTTCATTCTCTTGTCCGAGACAGAATACCACATGGAACTCTTTGCTCAGTAGGCTTTCTTCTGCCCAGGGCAGTACTGACCGTACCCACGGCCGCCGGCTGAGCAGCGCAGCGCAGCGCCTTTCACATAGGCCTTTAGGAAACAGAACCAATTTTGACTCACTCACACAGAAAATGAATCTGGGGGACCTTTTGAGGAAGAATCCAACCAGACTACAAAAAGCCAGGATTTGGGTGGTTCCAGAATGCTCTCTCAACATTGGGATTCCAGGGTGTGACTGACTGCTGTCTTGGGTCCTGTGCCCACACTGGGGTCAGAGAGCACGAAGAAAGGGATAATTCTCTAAAGCAGAATCTGAGTGCTGCTACATGGGGAGATGGGGAGAGGGCCTCGGAGTTGAAATCAGCATGGTCATAATAAATGGCCTTAAGCTTTGAGGTTTCTTTCTGCAGAAAGTTACTACGACTCACGCCATGGACTGAGCATTGGGTGTCTTGACCCAAAAGTAGTCCTGCAAAGGCCAGGTGACTGGAGAGTCAACAGCCTTTGTATGGCTTTATAAGAACTTTCATACTGGGTTTAATATTGGGTGGTCATACTCCATCGGATCTTCTGTCTCGGGGAGTGAGGTATGGATGCAAGATACACCCAATGGGTAGAAAGTGGAACGCCTAGTGTGTCCTGAAGGATGCCGACCCATCATCCAACTTCGTCTTGAAGGTACTGAGCCTCAAGGTATGGGTATATTTCCCCTGTGTCCTTGTAGTGGGCCCCACGACTTAACACGTAGTATGTGTCCTGATAAAAATAAGAGCCTGTCTAGCCCACGTTTTGGATTTTGGGCCTCCTGAGAGCATGAACCTTGTTTTATATGTCTGAGTCCTCGGGGCCAGATGATTTCACCCTGCACCCTGTAAGTGCTTCATCAGTGGTCAAAGTCCACTAGCTCATGTTGGGTTTGTTTGCTTGCAAACAGATCTGAACTAATGCTAACATTTCTAAGAGATTCTTGATGTACTGGGAAGGCACAGAGTTGACCTGAAGTAGTACGGACCTGACATCGCCTGGTGTGGGGTTCTCTGCTCTTTGTTCTACCTGTATTTCCATCTGTGCTATCATCATCTCACTTTGCTTAAGAGAAAAGTACATTTGGAGAAGTTAGCTGAATTGCTCCCGGTCACCAGGGTAACACGTTGGCAGGTCTAGTGTTCACACTCAGCTCCCCAAGGCAGCCACCCTACTGCCCTGCATCCTTTGCACACTGCCTTTAGCGCACACCAACGTGACTTTGGGAAAAAGCCTGGAAGGAGAGCCGGGTGCTTTTTTGCTGTGAAGTGAATGATTCCTGCCTCTTCTTCGAAACAAAAACTTTAAGTACGGTTGTTTTCACTGAACAGTTAGGTTAGCCAGTGGGATAAACTTTATAGAACCCAGTTAGGCCTTTCTGGAAACATGATAAAATTACAAAATACTGTGTTTGCCACAGTCTGTTTCCAAGGCCTACTGCCTCTCGTTAATTATTTCGTTTCAGTATAGTAGCAGTTGAGTGAGTAGATTTTATAGTTGGAGGCCTGGGTTCTGATCCTGTCTCTGCCACGAATTGGCTGTCTCTAGACAAGTTTTTGGACCCTCTCTGAACTCTGGCTTCCTGCCCATTGCTCAAAGAATTGTGAGGCTTGGGATCTCACGTTTGTAAAGTGCATTTGTAAAGTGCATTTGTAAAGTGTCTGGCAGGTAGGAAGTGGGCTGTAATAAAAACGCAGGTTACACGAGTCCAGGGTGGTTAAAACTAAAGAGATCTGAGAATCTCCAGTGACCACATTGTTGCATCCACTCCACTGGCTTTGACCTATGTAGAAATTGACCAGAGATCTTTTCATATTGCTTATTACAGATTTGTTCACCATAAGATTTTTGTTTAAGCTAAAGCTTCCTATTTACTAACACATTATTTTGGCGTAAGGGAGATGACCACAGGACTACTAGCTGGGTACCTCCGAGGCTCTGTTGTAGGTAAGGATGCTCTCCTTTCCCCAGAAGCCATGTAGGTCCATAGCCTGGGAGAGGTGGGGGGGATGCGGAGACAGCACAGACCCTGCAGGGGGCAGGTGCACTGACCTGGGAAGCACAGTTCCTCTACTGTGGAGTGAGGGCCTTCATTTCGGTGGTCAGCTTCCCTGAGGGTGCGGCTGTCCCCGTCCTTGCCAGCGTTGGCTCTGGGCAAGTTGGCCGACCCCATTAAGTCGATCCCGTAAACAGACTGTGCTCATGCGGGCTCAACTAACACCACCCAATCTGGCTGTAGGTTTTATATATAAATCAGGCAAACCTAAAATGCTGATGCTGATAAGATGTGGTGGCCTGAATGTAATGGAAACACCTTTCCTGGGTTGGTGTGACATGGTGTTATGGCCAGAACTGGAACTTAGCGTTCTAGTTCATAAACTCCACTGCTGTAGACAAAATGGGACCTGGCACTACATTTTCAACCCTGGAGTGTTGTGGTCATAACTTGAGGGCTTACCGTGTGCCGGGCACTATGCCAAGCGCTGTATGTGTACAAGTTCGCTTAATTTTTCTCGGTAACTATGAATGGTATTTACTGTCTATACCCAAAGTCAGGTCTATCCACACCATAACTCCGACCTTTGTGGGTGCCTGAATTAGTTTGAGAACGTTTCTGTTCTTTGCAGCCAAGCATCGCTCCCCAAGACATCTACTAGGGAAATGGGTTAAGTGACAGTTGCTAACTAAACCATCCTCCTCCCTGAGCTGTGGGGAGCAGTTAAAGAACACTAAAAATTGGGATGGAAATAACATGTATATGAGGTGAATAATGCAGCTTTGCGCCCCCCCCTTTTTTTAAGATTTTATTTATTTATCTGACAGAGAGAGACACAGCGAGAGAGGGAACACAAGCAGGGGGAGTGGGAGAGGGAGAAGAAGGCCTCCCGCGGAGCAGGGAGCCCGATGCGGGGCTCGATCCCAGGACCCCGGGATCGTGACCTGAGCCGAAGGCGGACAGACGCTCAACGACTGAGCCACCTAGTGCCCCAGCTTTGCCCCTTTTTTAAGAGGTGGGTGGACAATAAAATCCCAGTACAACAGTCCTTTACTTAAAGGCAGTACATTTGCAGCATGGTCGTAAAGGGTTCTTCTCCATGCCTGTGAACTGACTAGCTCGGAGGCTTTGAGCTTCCTGCGTCACCGCCCTGAGCCTCTGTGTCCTCACCAGCTGTAACCGTGGTACCTATCCTAATGAACGCTTGACTTTCAGCCTCCCAGCCTCTGTTGCCCCCACCTTCTGGTAACAGGAGCATACTCCTCTTTTGGGGAAGTCCTTCTACCCGTAAGTGCAGTGTTGGTGGGACTGTTAATAAAGGTAGCCTACCCTCCAGCCAAAAGTTGGGTATGTTCTCTCCTGGAATTTAAGTCTCGACCGGAGTTCTGCAAGGACTGAAAAAGAAGTATTTTTGGGTGAAGGTGTGAGTCTCGCAGGAAGCCTGCAAGTAACAGACAACCCAACTTAGAGGAGCTTAGCCAGACAAAGTCTGATTTTCTTGCATAAACACTCTGCAGGTAAGCAGCGGCCGGCATTCGGTCAGCTGCTCGACAATGTCTGGGCTGGTATATTTGTGATAGCCTTGTCTTTCCCTCCCGGTCACAAGGTGACTGCAGAAATTCCAGCATTGCATCCAAGTTCAAGGCAGGAAGAGGAGCTGAAGGGAAAGCTTCAGTTGTTCCTATCACTCTTACCAGGAAAGTACACAGTCTTTCCTAGGAA